ACATCTGTTCATTGCTTTGAGTTGGCTCAAGGGTATGCCAATTCAGAAACGTGATGAATGTATGATGCGAGTAGTAGATGTGCGTGAGTCATGCCGCCATCACAGGACATATTTGACATGCTCTATGACTGACTTCTTAAAAAAGAAGTCATGCTCATTAACGATAGAAGATGTTTGCGTAACATGTGGAATGTCTGGGCATATATCTTATGTGATTTCAGATGCATCCATCTGTCACGTACGCAAAAGTGGTAGATTTGAAGTGTTGCACTCACATAAACTTCCGAGATTTTCGGAATCATTTAAGTAAATGTACACTTTGTTCCATAAAAGCTGAGGCAACATCAAAACAGGTCGATCAAGGCGGTACAAGCTCAATGCATCCCTACATGTAGCATTCGTCTAGAAAGGGTTTTGACGGCGTGAAATAACGTTCCAAAATGAACGCCGATGATGGCGTGTCCGTGAAGTTAGCGATTTATTCCGCGCTTTTTTGGGCGATGAGTTCCGATCTCCCTGAAAAATGGTTTCAAAGTCAGTTGTGGCATGGAAACACCAAAAATGACACTTTGCAATATCATGTGACCTTCATGGTCAAAAGCTGGGTCAAAGGACGGGGAACACAATATCACACAAAAATTATGGGCCGATTTTCAACTTGCCAATGTCAGAATATTCACCACAGAAAGAACTAGCGTCCGTCGAAAACTCCAGACCTCTCAGGGTCACTCTTCAAGGTCAACCACGGGCTCAAAGGACGTGGAACTCCATATCATCCGAAAATTACCGGCTGACTTAAACTTAAAGATATCAAAATAATCGCAAGAGAAAGAGCTAGCGTCCGTCAAAAAGTCCTGATCTCTCAAGGTTACCCTCCATTGTCAAACGCGGGTTCTAAGGGCGGGGAACTCCATATCACCCAAAAATTACCGGCCGATTTTCAGCTTTCAAAGATCAAAACATTCACCACAGAAAGAACTAGCGTCCGTCGAAAAATCCTGACCTCTCAAGGTCACCCCTGAAGGTCAAACGCAAGCTCAAAGGACAGGGAAATTCATATCACCCAAAAATTACCGGCCGATTTTAAACTCAACGACATCAAAATAATCACCGGAGAAGGAGCTACCGTCGGTTAAAAAATCCTGACCTCTGAAGGTCACCCTTCAAGGTCAAACGCGGGTTCAAAGGACGGGGAACTCAAACTTCACCAAAAAATTACCGGCCGATTTTAAACTTGAAGACATTCAAATAATCACCAAAGGAAGAGCTACCGGCCATCAAAAAGTTCTGACCTCTCAGGGTCATCCCTTAAGGTAAAACACAAGCTCAAAGGACGGGAAACTCTATAGCATCAAAAGTTACAGGACGTTTTTTTAACTTACAAACATCCGAATACTCATCACAGAAAGAACATTCTTACAAAAACTTACAAACATACGGATATTTCCAACAGAAAAAAACTAGCGTCCATCAAAAAATCCTCACCTGTCAAGGTCACCCTTCAAAGCCAGACGTGGGCTCAAAGGACGGGGAACTCGATATCGCCCAAAAATTACCGATCGATTTGTAATTCATAAGCATCAGAATACTCACCACAGAAGAAGCTAGCGTCCTTCAAAGGGTCCTGCCCTCTCAAAGTCATCCCTTAAGGTAAAATGTTTGCTCAAAGCACGGAGAACTCCATATCACTCAAAAATTACAAGCCAATTTTAAGCTTGCAAACATCAGGATGTTCACCACAGAACGAACTAGCGTCCTTCAAAAGTCCTGACCTCTCAAGGTCATCCTTCAAGGCCAAACGTGGGCTCCAAGGATGGGGAGCTCCATGTCACCAAAAATCACCGGCCAGTTTTAAATTTGCATCCATTATGATATTCGCCACAGAAAGATGTAGCGCCCGTCAAAAATTCCTTGCCTCTCAAGGTCATTCTTCAAGGTCAAACGCGGGCTCAAAGGACGGGGAACCTCGTGTCACCCAAAAATTACCGGCCGCTTTTTAAGGTACAGACATAAGACTATTCACTATAGAAAGAGCTAGCGTTCGTCAAAAAGTGCTGGCCTCTCAAGGTCATACTTCAATGTTAAACGCGGGCCAAAAGGGCGGGAACTCTAAATCACCCTTAAAGTACCGGCCGGTTTGAAAACTATAAGCACCAAAGTATTCACAAGCGCATGAGCTAACGTCCGTCAAAATATCCTGACCTTTGCCTTTTGGACGGACAATAATTCTTGTTATGGTGAATATTTTTATGTTTGTAAGATAAAAATCAGCCGGTGATTTTTTGGCGACACAAAGTTCCCCGTCTTTTGAGCCCACGTTTCACCTTGAAGGGTGACCTTGGGAGGTCAGGACTTTTTGACGGACGCTAGCTCTTTCTCTTGTCAATATTCTAGTGTTTTTAAGTTAAAAATCGGCCGGTAATTTTTGGGTGATATGGAGTTACCCGTTTTTTAGCCTGTGTTTGACCTTGAAGGGTAACCTTGAGAGATCAGGACTTTTAGACGAACGCTAGCTGTTTTGGTGATGAATATTCTGATGTTTGTAAGGAAAAAATCGGCCAGTAATTTTCGGGTGATATGGAGTTCCCCGTCTTTGAGCCCACGTTTGACCTTGAAGGGTGACCTTGAGAGGTCAGGTTTTTTGACGGACGCTAGCTCTTTTTGTGATGAACATTCTGACGTTGTAAGTTAAAAAAACGTCCGGTAATTTTTGGTTGATATAGAGTTTCCCGTCCCTTGAGCCCGCGTTCCACCTTGAAGGGGGACCTTCAGAGGTCAGGACTTTTTGACGGACGCTAGCTTTTTCTGTGGTGAATATTCTGCTGCTGCAAGTTGAAAAGTGAAGTTAAGTTAAGAAGAAAAGCAAAGTTAAAAAATCGGCCGGTAATTTTCGGATGATATGGAGTTCCCCGTCCTTTGAGCCCTTGTTTCACCTCAAAGGGTGACCTTGAGGGGTCAGGACTTGTGGACGGACGCTAGTTCTTTTTGTGGTGAATGTTCTGACATTTGTAAGTCGAAAATCGGCCGGTAATTTTTGGGTGATATCGAGTTCCCCGTCTCTTGACCCAGTTTTTCGTCTTGAAGGTCAAATGGCATTGCAAAATAAAGGTCATTTTTGGTGTTCTCATGCCACAATTGACCTTGAAAATTTTTTCAGGGAAATCGTAACTCGTCGCTGAAAAAATCGCTGAATAAATCGCGAACTTCACGGACGTGATGATAGCACGTATTTTCTACCGAAAAGGCTAACAGTTTTTCTGTCCATCTTTAAGATGGCAACGCAAATATCACAGTTAAAATAGTTCTTTTGCCATGATAATGATAAGGTGCACTGTTACAACAATGCGTAAGCCGTTAGGTACGTAGGACGCATAATTTGCTCTTACACAAATGATAACTTTAAGTGGCTGCATCCCAACGCTAATGACCATCAAGATAGCGGATTTCATGAGCAGTCGTGTAGATCTAACAGTGCTTCGACCTATTTGCTGCTGAAATAAATCCATAAGAATAGATTCCATTTCAGGACGGACACGCGTACTTAAAGTTAGGTTATCAGCAATGGTCTTAAGGGCATTCACCTCAAGATAGGGCGTTTCATACGCAAGTGAGCGCCCCGTACTCCGGGTTAGGTCACCAGTGAAGCTGACTTTTTACCTGCACCTATTGTCGGAGCGTTGTTGGGTTGGGGTGTTGCTTCAGGAAATGTCAAAATAATGCGGAATGGTGGTGAAGAACACCGTAATACTAATACTTCGTCTAAATCTTTCCCTAAAAACCCCGACTTTCTTTTTAATCTTTCTTTTTTCTCCAGTTGGCCCCATCATCTAAGATTTTCCGTCCTCCCATGTCATGCAATGACTCGTGTCCAAAACGTGTTTTGGTCGTACCCATGCGTTTTTCTAGTCATTTGTTCATGTGTTGGTGGACAGTGGTCGGTTCCTGATTATCCATCTGTCAAGCATACAGAAGTGGTAGATGGTAGTGGTAGTGAAGATAAGTGAAGATAGTGAAGAAGCATACAGGTAGTGGTAGTCACACTCGCACAACCTTCCGATATTTTCGAACTCATTGAAGGGAATGTACACTTGTTCCATAAAACCTGAGGCAACATCAAAACAGGTCGATCAAGGCGGTAAAAGCCCAATGCATCCTTACATGTGCCATTCGTCTAGAAAGGGTTTTGCCTGCGCGAAGTAATGTTCCAGATGCAAGTGAATGCATGGTGTAGGTGTTCTTGCAATGGTTCTTGATTTGTAATAAAAAGCAAACTGAAGTGTTTTGTGCTCACGCCAACTATTCTCCGGTTCAATGGTATTTCCAAACACGGTAAGGAGCGGCAATAAACGGTTACATATAACGCAGAACTGGGAATACTCGTATACAACTTGAAATAAGCTGCAACGATCTAACTGCAACACAGTGAGTTAATACACAGGATATGTCTGCCAGCGAGAATGATACCTCACGATAGTCTTATTGTTGTCCAGGTCAAGGCAAGGCATGTTAAAATGGCTTCGCCGGGCCGACTTAGTGTGCTCTTTGAAGCAACAGGTCCACTGTTACTCAAACCTTTAACACTTTGGCGAACTATTCTGCGGTTGGCTGCTCAAAAACATGATTCACTGTAAGGTGCACGCATTCACTTTGCACCGTACTGCGTTCATTATACCACTAAGCTCAAACTACATGTGTTCGCTGAGGTTTTCGCCATCTTAACGGCGTTGCCATATAGCCAACGTCGCATGGAACATGACTCTGATTTTAACTGACCCGTTGAGCGCCCTTTCATCACCAGACCCAACCTCATTCCCTTGTGACCACCCGGACCTCGTGCGCACCGTTTGAAAAGAACTTCGCAAATCCCACCAACAACACGTTAGTCACATTCATATGGATTCTCAGCCACATCGACGAAAGAGCAGAGGCCATAGCGAGAGCAACGCATGTCAATATTACCCTCTTTCCATCAAGCTACCGGTGGGTGACCTGAAGTCGGTAGTTACCAGGTATATTCATGACAGATAGCAAAATGACTTCGTCAAAGCACATCACACATTCCAGGCCATCAAACCACTGGTTGGTGCGTGGGAGGCGTCTGACCAGAGCAAGAGATTCGAGGAGGTTGCTGTTTCCCGGCCGCGGCTCGAGCACACCTGCACTACGCGCTCGTGTTACCTACCGAGCTAGGCCATGTTGCAGTGCAAGGGATGTGACGAGCATCTGACCGTCCTGCCCTCCGGACCGATGTCCTGACCCCGTGTCATTGTCATAGATCATCCGTGTTGCTTCGTTCCAGCGCCCTTTTCACGGCTCCTAGGCCGGGACCCACGTTGTGATATTGCTGACAACGCACGCCGTCTTAGTCGATGTAGCCTTCATAATAACTTGTAACCGTCCAACCGTTTAGGTATACAGATCAAAGTGCGGAGTAATATACGAAATAGTTCTGACCGAGCGGCATGCAGTTGGCAGCACTCGAGAGGGCGCAAAATGGCCGCGTAGTCGACACGCCCATAAACCTTAGATATAATTACTTTATTCTGTGGCAAATCAAACGCACTGAAAGCAAACTACACACGTCGTCTCTTGATCACGATCACAGAAATCTCGCATGACAGCCAGGCAACACGTCCGACACCAGGCAGCCACTCAAAGTAGAATATGAAATCTTCTAGAAAACAAACTATCCAAGGGCTGGACACGCACACTTCCGGCAGAGGCACGGCAGTAGCCGGTTCCAGAAAAGCGGATCTCCTTTTAAACATCGCTGTTCGAGCACATAATCGGCAAGTACTTAGTTTGATCTGCTTGCCTCGTTCGTCAAACGCTTACCACGAAATTTTCTTTCAAGCAAAAACTATTCTTCCAGGACTATGCGCTTGCATGGTTCTATTGAAAACATTAATTGCAGACAGCTCTAACGAACTGACTACAGCCCCCCACCCCTTTCACCAGAGAGACCAGTGTCCACAGCACCAACCCTAGCGCAGCGGGCGTACTTCATCACAGAGCATCGGGGATCACACAGGCGCGACGAGCCGCCGACGAGGCAAGTCTCCACACACACACACACACACACACAGGGAGCCGGCGGGGCCTACAGCCTGCAACATGACGCCGCACGCCCCGCATGCAGTAGCCGCGCTTCACAGGCAACAACTAAGCCTACAGAGAAACTGAGAGCTACAAACGTAATGATGAAAGCTCCTTTGTCTTACCGCACCGAACTCCGGGATCTTCATGCTGGCCTCTTTGAGACCCAGCGGGTGCATACCTATGCGGAATATTAATCCTACATCGGGTTTCTACGCGCGTTTGGATACGGTTTCTACAGCATCAGTGGAAAAGCATCCCACATCTTGACATGGTGGAATATTGTTGCACTACTATCACGGACAATACAAATATAGCGATCCACCGGAGATAGTAATAGCGACTTTTCCTCCAACATTGAAAGAGCATCAGATGATACTACTAACACTCTGATGAGTGGACACCATGTTCCGACAAAATTGGACTAGACTCTTCGACCTAAAATACCTCCATGCTTAGAAATCCCTTTAACGTCACAAACTAATGTGACCCCGCGTCTGGCTGCCCTGGGCATTACAGCTCGGCACCTACGCGCCCTCAGCACGACTGTGGCACATCAAGCGTTATCGTTTCCAGCTGGAGGCTGAGTGCAATTTTGCCAGGAACCGCACATAACTGTTTCTCGGCAGTCGTGGCCAGAGCGGTGGTTAACCACGCAACATAAACACGGTTGAACAACTCGTATGGTCTTGATACACTCAGCGCGCGTAGTCTCCGGTCTGTTGGACAGTCCTCCAGAGCCCTGGAACGTGGCCCGTCTCCAAACGGTCTGCTCAGGGGCGGCAGACGGCACTTAGCCGGGTGTCAGCGCAACAGTCCTGACCCTCCGGACCGCGCCCTGACCGGGACGGTCTGGCGGCCCTTTCCCCGAGCGCGGCCCGACGTCCAGTCCAGAGCCGGCACGGCCAGGCGGCGATCGACACCGCTCCCGGACGACCATCGGCGCATCGACCATCGGCCGGCCCTGGTGGGCGCCGGATCGGGGCGCCCACTACCATCGCCGACGGCGGAGGCGGCGGTGCCTCGCGTCCGAGCCGGCGCCGGCATCGTCCCTGGCGCCGTGGCGGGCGGCTCTCCGTGGGCCGTCGCCGCCCGGCCGGCCCGGGCACCGCGGCGCGCGCGCGCCCCGCTCTCAAGATCACGCACGGCTGGTGAAGATGAGCGGCGCTCCAGCTAGAGCGAAGGTGCGGGACAAAACACCAGCTAGGCGTCCGCGGCCGGCGTGGCGCTCGGTGCCCGAGGCGTGTACTCCACTTCGGAGACGCCTGCAATCGAACAGGCACCATGTCAGACAGGTGCACAGAGACGCACGGTCACGGGCGGCGTAACAGTCATGGACCGAGAGGCCCTGCAATTATTCGCACGAACACACTGAACAGTTAGACATATAATGATGTTGTGAGGGCAGTTTCCGCTGAGCTGTTTCTAAGGACAAACTTAGTGTTGCAAAAGCCTCTCGCCAATGGAAGTGGAACGAAAAAGTTTTGGAGCGAAGCCAGGAGCTCACGACCCACGCAAGGCACAACTACAGTACAAGAAAACGAGCTTGAGCTGCTGCCAGGCAGAATGCTTCATGTATTTAGCATCTGGCTGAACGCGCTCCGAATACCAGGCTTCCCAAGCGGCGAAAGGCCGGCGCGCGCGACCTGACCTGGGTCGTCAACGTCGGCGTGGCCATTGCTCTTGGCGTCTGGAGCATTCGCCAAGGCACCGTTGGAGGTCATTTCAATTTCGTTGCGGCTAGGCAGATAGGGGTCGGGCCCCACCAGGCTCAGCAGCACAGGCAGCAGAACCAGGCCGTGGTACAGGCCGAACACAGTCACCCCGAAAAACACCTGCCGACACATACAGTGACATCTGTCGGACCGACGATAAAACATAGCTTCACGCGCCCGTCGCCGGGGTAACAAGACCACGTATGGCTCAACTAAAACATCGCAGACTGGTTTGAAGACATGCGTATGATTCAGCATGGGATTAATCGATTTGAGCCTAGACTCCCAGCACACGGGGTTGATGTGTCGAGAGGGCTGGCTGATGGTACAGAGAATCAGACCCTGGCTATGAAGAGCACTGTACAATTTTGAGCTGGTGCTCGGGCTCGACACCTCTCTTGCTTATGTTCATTATAACTCTATCAACAAGATTTTGAGTCAACTTTAATTAGATCTTAAAGAAATGAATCGGCTTTGGCGAAAGTCTAGGACCATTAATTACGACCATCATTCCGAATCACTTGCTAAACTAAATTATCATTCGTTGTGAATCATCAGATCATTAAACCAAACAAACTACATTCCAAGGAGAGCTTAAGATATAAGCCACTCTATGGACTGCATCGAATCCACACACATCTGCTTTCGTAACAGGACAGCTGTCAACATTTATATGTTCTATCTCCTGCACAAAAACCGTCAGAGCAAGAACATCTGACATCTCTAAATGCATGCATCTCTAAATAAATGCAATGCATGAATCACTTCTCCGTGATTTCAGCAGTTGGATCGATGGTACCTAATAAAATGTGTGAAGGAACCGACTCAAATGCACGCATCGACTCAGCCTCCCTTTGGCATCACCCACGTGTTGGTTTGAGACACATGAACACGCGCTTAAGCCCTGTATGTTGACGCGGCTCCCCTCCACGCATGGCAGACGCGCATAAACCTCATTTCCCTTGACTACGCGCTCTCCGCCGCGTACCTTGAAGAACGTGACGAACACGTGCGAGGTGGACGTGGCGAGGAAGATGAAGGCTAGGAACGTGCTGAAGCCGCCGTTGAAGACAGCTGGCCCTATATCGCGCAGCGTCTGCAGGGCGCGCTGCTGCCGACCGCCGCGCTGCGTCAGGAATGTGTGGCCCACGTGCGCCGCGTAGTCCACACAGAGGCCGATGGCCAGCACGACGTCGATGCACGAGACGGTGTCGATCGTCAGGCCCCAGAAGAACATCAGGCCGCCGACGTCCACCTGAGGGCCGGGAGGGGAGGGCGGCTCAGGGTAGCCGGCGGATCAGAGCACATGCAGGGAGGGGAGGGCCGCTCAGGGTAGCCGGCGGACCGGAGCACATGCAGGGAGGGGAGGGCGCCTCAGGGTAGCCGGCGGACCGGAGCACATGCAGGGAGGGGAGGGCCGCTCAGGGTAGCCGGCGGACCGGAGCACATGCAGGGAGGGGAGGGCCGCTCAGGGTAGCCGGCGGACCGGAGCACATGCAGGGAGGGGAGGGCCGCTCAGGGTAGCCGGCGGACCGGAGCACATGCAGGGAGGGGAGGGCGGCTCAGGGTAGCCGGCGGACCGGAGCACATGCAGGGAGGGGAGGGCCGCTCAGGGTAGCCGGCGGACCGGAGCACATGCAGGGAGGGGAGGGCGGCTCAGGGTAGCCGGAGGACCGGAGCACATGCAGGGAAAGGAGGGCGGCTCAGGGAAGCCGGCGGACCGGAGCACATGCAGGGAGGGGAGGGCCGCTCAGGGTAGCCGGCGGACCGGAGCACATGCAGGGAGGGGAGGGCCGCTCAGGGTAGCCGGCGGACCGGAGCACATGCAGGGAGGGGAGGGCCGCTCAGGGTAGCCGGCGGACCGGAGCACATGCAGGGAGGGGAGGGCGGCTCAGGGTAGCCGGCGGACCGGAGCACATGCAGGGAGGGGAGGGCCGCTCAGGGTAGCCGGCGGACCGGAGCACATGCAAGGAGGGGAGGGCCGCTCAGGGTAGCCGGCGGACCGGAGCACATGCAGGGAGGGGAGGGCGGCTCAGGGTAGCCGGCGGACCGGAGCACATGCAGGGCACGCCAGTCAACCACACGAATGCAGCCGGCGCGAGAACGTCACGCAGGGACGGCATCGCAAAAAGCTTAGCACCTGCGGCGCCCGTCGCGCTCGATGATGAACGCACATGCCGTCAGAAGTAGTGCACAACGTACAGGCTATTTATGATGACACACAGACATACTACAGGCCTAGCCAGCAGCGAGATCAACGGTTCACACCGGCCCCGCGCCCTTCCGGCGCAGTGAGGACCGCAGCCAGCGCTGCCAGGGCCCCCGCCCGGCGCGCTGGACTCACCAGGGTGAACACCACGCAGGCAAGCACCAGCAGGCAGACGATGAGGTCGGCGATCAGGAAGAGCACCATGACGAACACGCAGAGCAGGGCCAGGCCCATGTTGCGGTAGAGTTCGAACTCGATCACCTGGTCCGTCTCCCAGCTGGCGTAGATCTCCGCCAGCGGCTGGACCAGCGGCGCTGTCGGTGCCGCCGCCGCCGGTCAGTCGAGCGCCGCGTCCCGGACGGACGTCACAGGTTCAGCCAGGCGTCACACGTCACACGTCAACGGGCCGCCGCAGAAGAGCAGACGTCACAGGATCAGCCAGGCGTCACACGTCACACGTTAACGGGCCGCCGCAGAAGAGCAGACGTCACAGGGTCAGCCAGGCGTCACACGTCACACGTCAACGGGCCGCCGCAGAAGAGCAGACGTCACAGGATCAGCCAGGCGTCACACGTCACACGTCAACGGGCCGCCGCAGAAGAGCAGACGTCACAGGATCAGCCAGGCGTCACACGTCACACGTTAACGGGCCGCCGCAGAAGAGCAGACGTCACAGGGTCAGCCAGGCGTCACACGTCACACGTCAACGGGCCGCCGCAGAAGAGCAGGCGTCACAGGTCAGCCAAGCGTCACACGTCACACGTTAACGGGCCGCCGTAGCAGAGCAGACGTCACAGGTCAGCCAAGCGTCACACGTCACACGTTAACGGGCCGCCGTAGCAGAGCAGACGTCACAGGATCAGCCAGGCGCTACACGTCACACGTCAACGGACCGCCGCAAAAGAGCAGACGTCACAGGATCAGCCAGGCGTCACACGTCACACGTCAACGGGCCGCCGCAGAAGAGCAGACGTCACAGGATCAGCCAGGCGTCACACGTCACACGTCAACGGGCCGCCGCAGAAGAGCAGACGTCACAGGATCAGCCGGGCGTCACACGTCACACGTCAACGGGCTGTCGCAGAAGAGCAGACGTCACAGGATCAGTCAGGCGTCACACGTCACACGTCAACGGACCGCCGCAGAAGAGCAGACGTCACAGGATCAGCCGGGCGTCACACGTCACACGTCAACGGGCCGCCGCAGAAGAGCAGACGTCACAGGATCAGCCAGGCGTCACACGTCACACGCGCCGCCGCAGGACAATCGGACGCCACACCGCAACGGCTCCCGCAGATCGACAGGACGTCACCGACTCAAAGGTCATGAGCCTGTCGGCCGGCCATCGCTGGTCAGCTGGGCATACGATTACTTGAAGATCAACCGACGCTACGGTCCCAGCTCAGCTGGATGAAGCGCGCACCGGGGGAACCAGACAGACCTACCAAAGACCAAGAACAGCACCACGACAGCATCGCTAGGTGCCCAGACTGGCGGCGTGAAGATTCGCGCACATGCCAAGCACGATGGGCATAGTGGGCAACACAACCCAAATTACGAATGAAACAAATCGCCTGCTTCACCAAGTGCAGCATTTGCCCCACTCAGCGAGCACGAAGCCCGCTAATCCAGCGGGCTAATCCAGCGACGCGCGGTGGCTGCAGCGCCGCCGGACGAGCGAGACCCACCGTCGCCGGTGAAGTTGACGGACTTGGCGATCTGCTTGACCCGCTGCATGGCCGGTATTTGCTCCACGGGACCGTTCATCAGCGTGTGGGTGTACGACACCATGGCGATCTGCCAACAATCACGCGCACCGTGTGAACCGTGCGCGCTGAGCGTTTACTACGCGCCGCGTTACTGCGCCATGGGAAACACGTGGCACGAAGTCGCCATGTCGGCGGCGCTGTCGACGTCTGCACAGTTCGGACCCGTCAATGGCCCAGCAATGCGGCGCTCTGTTCAGGCTCCCGTTATTCGTATCTAGAGCGGCGCCATTCCCGTTTTCACGAAAACTGACCGAACTGACCCGTTTGCGGCCCTGACCAAATGAGAAAGCTGCGCCGCGTTGAGACAAGGACAGCAGACGCTGTCTGAGGTCAGGTCAGGTGAGTCTCGGCCGAGTAAGGTCACACCAGGTGAGACCTGTCCAGCTCTGAGCCGGTCCAAATGACATGGGAACAGGTCATGCCCGGTCAGACGCGGCGGCAGTCGGCTACGGCGCGCCGGAGGCGGGAGAGGGGATGACGCACCTCGATGGGCGGCGCCGGTGCGCCGGGGGCGGGGGAGGGGATGACGCACCTCGATGGGCGGCGCCGGTGAGCCGCACTCCAGCGTGCCGTTAAAGCGGAGGAACTTCTGGAACTTGCCGCCGCGCGGGCTGAATATGAACTGTCCGAGCATCGGCAGGAACTGGTAGCTGTCGTAGAGCCGCGTCGGCAGCTCTGCGGGCCGTCAGCTGGTAAGTGGCCCGCGTCGGCCTCCCTTACAGCGGCGCCACCCACGCACGCGCCCACGCGCGACAGACGGGCGCCCGCGGAAGCACGGCACGTCACACGCCAGACAGGCGGCGGTAACCCAACGAATGTAGTCGAACACGCATTACGGAGAGACAAGTCAACTGTCCCATACAGCCTGCTCCAAACTGTACAGTCGGACGGCACGCGTCTCCGGGCAGGTCGTTCGCCACTCACAGGGAGCACGGGGACGGTTCAAGCTACACAAACTCTGGCAAAAAGCGTCGACTCTGCGACGGGCGGCGGGCGGCTCAACAGACGACACCCGACGCAGGCGAGCCAGCTGGCCCACCGTACTCCTGCGTACCTCCGTATTTGTTGTAGTTGATGTAGTACTGAAACTCGTCGTACCACGACTCGACGCGCTGTATGCTGGGGTCGGCCGACAGGCGCTCCGACAGCAGCGCCATCTGCGGCATGTTGTCTGCGAAGTCCACCCCGCTGACGAAGACGACGCCCTTCTCGCCTGCAGGACAAAGCGCAGTCGCGTTGTAACACACACGAGCCATGCCTCGAGGGCCGAGGCAGGGGTGTTCTAAACGAGCCATAGTGCCTGAGGCGTCAGGCACACACGCGCCACGCGACATGTGGTATCAGCCAGCAAGTGGCGTCAACCCGCTCAAAGGCAGACCCACTGGCTGACTGACCACCTGTCTGCCGACTCGCTGCCGCGGGCAGGGACGCCGCGCGGCGTCTGTGGATAGGAGCGAGCCCGGCGCCAGAGCCCGCCGATGTTGGGTGCGGAGGCCTCGGCGCTGCGTGCTCGCCTTCGGTGGGGAAGTAGTGCTCGGCGCTGCGGTGAAACTGCGCGAGGTGCGAGTCGGACGGCAGGAACCAGAGCGGGTTGAACTCCTGGCGCAGCTGGGACAGGCCCCACGAGAAGACGGCCAGTAGGAGGCACGTCAGCACCAGCACGACCACCTGGAGGCGGAGGACCGGGGACGGACGAGGTCACGGACAGCAGCCTCCCTCACAACGGGTCGGCCGAGGCAGCGTCCAAAATTCATCCCGTAAGGTATGCAGGATGCCAATATAAACTCATGCAACAAGCCAACCGGCTTCGCGACCGCCTGCACGTGCGCGTGCCCGCTAATCCGTTACCCTCTGACTCCCAGCACTCAAATCTAACTTGCTCGGCCCATTTCCCCAGCGCGAGGTGCCTTCACGGTTGGCTGAGCGCCGTTCAGCTACCGGCCGATCTTAAGCGGGGATAAGGGAAACAGGCGCCAAAGTCCGGGGCTGGGGTGCAAGAACATGAGCAAATACCGACATCCCTGCCACCAGTGGTAAAAACTCGGACCCTGGGGCGAGGCATAGGTCATTTCGCCGCGCACACTCCTGGTACTGGATGTGGCGGTTCGGGGACTCACTTTGTGAGACAGCTCTGTGGAGCGAGTGCCAACAGGACACTACCTTACGCTCCAGGTGTCCAGATTTTCCCCATAGGATGACGACGCTGGTAGGCAACAGACGTCCCCACCCGAGTATAATAACGCACACCACAAAAAAACCGCTCGCCCTCGCACTGAGTGGCCTGGCCCTGGATTTGCCGACAGCACCAGCTCACCTTTCCGACTCTGCCGAGTATGAGCGGCGCGTACACGCGGCCGAAGAAGTTCTGGAAGAAGCTCTTCTGGCTGCAGGCGTTCGGCGTCCAGTCGACATGGGTGTAGCACGGGACGAGGCCATCACGCCGGCACTCAATCCGCCGCTGGTCCAGCGTGAAGAACGCAACGAACCACGTGGCCTGGATGAAGTACACGGCCAGGATACCGACGGCCGCGTACACGCAGAACGACTCCAGAGATGGCAGCACCTGCAACCGGCAGTGTCGACATACCTGACATGCCATCGCGGAGAACGCCTCTCATCGCCGTGATCTGTCACGCGCAAGAGTCACTGACCCAAGACAGCAGGCAGTACACCAAACATCAGTACCATTGAGCCAATCTTCAATGCACACGACATGTGGCAATAAATGTCATAGGCTATTACGCCGACTTTTTAAGACTTGATCCGAACCCTTTGAATGGATGGATTTCTGGGGTCAGAGCTCACACAACGCAGTGCTTGTTGTGTGAGCCCTCACCCCCACCATCCGACCGTGCCATTCTCGGCAACGGCAGAATTTAGTGGCTAAAACTTAAACGTGCCGCAATGCTTGGCATGTTCCGTCCTGCCATCTGGCGTCAACTGACCTTCAGCGCGACCGATGCCACCGGCCGCAGACCAGTGGCATGACGAACCCCCTATCAAGGCGCTAAGGCGTCCTAACATCACAAGCTGGCGACAGCGGTGGCCAAGCGCCCGCGACATGAGACGTGCCGCAGAGGAGATACGTGCCACGACTGTCTGCCCTCAGGTCCAACGCTGGTCTCCAGCTGCTCGTCGAGTCACGCCGCACGCCCCCTCACCGTGGAGGCGCCGATGGCGAAGGCGACAAAGTCGGTGAGGCTGGTGACGGTGATGGAGACGCCGGCGTGCTGCAGGGTGCGGCCGACGCGCTCCTCCAGCGGACGCAGCCGCTCATCCGGCGTCAGCATCTCCCAGCACTGTAGAATGACGAACATGTCGTCGACGCCGAGCCCCAGCAGCAGCAGCGGCAGGATGTTGTGCACCGGCCCGAAGAACACGCCCAGCGACGAGCACAGGCCGAACGAGACGACGATGGCGAGAGCCACGCTGAACACGCCCACCATCGACAGGTACGTCTGCCGGGGAGAGGGAGCGAGCCGGCGCCGTCAGCCGTGCTCCAGCGCAGTGACGTGCCGTGACGCCCGAGCAACACGAATCAAACACCACCAAGACACTGGGCTAGTTACACATGCGCCGCCGAGCTCCTCCCACACAAGCCTTGTTCAACACATAGCTTCACGTTCACGATGTTGATGGCTTTGTTGTACTTCGGCCATTTTCGTACGTGTCCGACAAAACACATGGCAGGTTGCTTACGAGTTGAGTAAGCTGAGAGCCCAGCGACTCACCGCACAGTGATGACCATGCGTGCGTCATCGCCGACTCCAAAACGCGGGGACAATATACCCAATACCGCAGCGTCGATCAATTAAAAGCGTGTCATATTCTGAAGCTGTCTGTTCTGAAGTGGCCCTCAGGGGACCAATGGAATACTTGTTCGGACATCATCCTCGTCCCGACAAGAGCGATAGGCTGAACCATTCTATCCGCGATACTAATACCTCGCTTCAACCCCTCCGCTAACCCCTTACTGATCGGCGAAGCATTCAGCTAGCGACAGTGGAGGAGCGTGAACATCACGCTGGCATAAACGAGTCCTCCACATTTTTCCGATGAGGACGATAATCCGAATAAGCATTCCATCTGTGAGACTAATGCCTCGTCTCACTCGTTACTTAAAATTCCCCAGGGACTCTACTCCATTAACGACAAATAGCCCACTACTAGCCGCAAACACAGAGCGTCTCTGCAACGGGTACGGTTGTCCAACATAGCATACAGCCATGCCGCCGGTTGATAACAATGCACTTGAAATAGTCCACGCGAGCAATCCATGTTTCTGAGCAGAGGCGTGCAGCCAGCAGTTTTCTAGGCCAAGTGGGGCTTCGGACATAGTGCGCATCTGGCGGCCGCTATAAATAGCATCACATTATCAGCACGGCGATCGACAAGGTGAGCAGCGCCCCGGAACAAAACTAAAGGAGCCGGCGCCAGTTTTCGGCGAGTCATCCGAACATGTCTGCCCGAGCTTGCATCCTCGCTCGAAAATGTTTCGATACAAATGTTCTGTGGATGCCGACATTGATCTTTGCGTTGCAAGCAGTGATAAATGACGCACATCTTCCACAAAAACAAATCTCTTTTGCCCCCGTCGAATACCTCGAGTGGTCTGTTTGTCCAACAAAGGTCTTGACTGCTAACGCAACATCGGCACTTGCGATCTCCTTGCCGTAAAACCAACAGCGCGAGTCTGCTCTATAAACTGTAACGGCGGGCGGCGCCATTCCAGCACATAGTCGCTCCGACTGTGCTCTAGCGGAAGTGCCCGTACCATTACCACTCACGGCTTCACCGCGGGCCCGGGCGCCTCCGCTACATGACATCAAATGCCGCGCGGTTCAGTGAACCGCAAGACGTGCCGCTCGATGACGCCGCGGTGACTCACAGACCACGTGCCAGCCATCCGGCTTACATAACGTCCACAATCCCGAGTGTGCTGCTTGACCAGCGCCCGCGTCGGCCGGCGGAGAGCCGGGGGGGGGGGGGGGGGGGGGCGAGCATGGCAGGGCGGCCCAAACGACCCACCCAGACGGGAGAGGCGCGCAGCGCGGCCTGCCAGCTGTGTCGGCCGGCGGGCGCCGCTGGCACGCTCACGCCCATACGAAGGCCGCGTAGCGCACTCACCCGGTGCTCCACCATGTTGCAGCGGCCCAGCATCAGCTGGATGTACATGAACATCACAATGTAGCCGAACACCAGGTACTTGACGTCACCGAAGATGGCGGAGCTGCTGATCTCGCCGAAGCTGGCGGCAGACATCACGCGGGACGCGTCAGGAGCGCGGTGGGACAGACGCCGAGGCGGACAGGTAGGGGAGAGCGGGACAGACACCAGGCCAGGCAGGTCGGAGAGAGGGCAACAGACGCCGGGGCGGACAGGTCAGCAGCGAAGCGGGACGCTAATACTGAGCGCTGACGGTACCAGCCTGCCACCTGCGAAGTGTCGGGAGCCAAATATTGCACACCCAACTAGCGCGGAGGAGGCAGGGCGCAAACCTTAGATGCTTTGATGCGCTATAGATATGCAGCCAGCTGATGACGTCTGCGGACAAGACCCAGCAGCGACCTTTGTCCTCTATTCTCTTTGCTTGTTGCCCGCAAACCGTTCAGCTGCTGATGCAATGACGCAGTGGGGAATATCACACGTAGGGCAGCGAAACCAAGGGCGGCAAATAACACGAAAATTGAGAGCCTCACAGCAAAAGTGATGGGAAGAAGGTGCTCGGTGTGTGAAGGAGGGAAGAGAGAGAGAGAGAAGAGAGAGA